TTGAACAATCTTGGGTGGTTTTGTTGCTGAATTGGTTGAGAAAAAGGTTGGGTCATAGTTGTAACAACCCTTGCCATACGAATTTCTCTAATCGCGCTTGTAATTCTCTCCTCCTCTATAGATTGGCATTGTTAGGAGTGCTGGGACATTATTGTTGCATTACGAAAAGCTCTTTCGAGGTATGAAGGCTAAACTCTTTTTCTAGTATCGGAATTCCCGAACCCTTGTAAAATTCTATCATGTGTAGTCGAACTTGAAACGCTATTGATGTGGGATGTTCGAGCTAGTGAATTGATTCTCAAAATGCATAACGTGTCTGAACCCTCATGTGTTAAAGATTGTCTATTGTGACTTAATTATGTTATACCCTTTGTAGGATGAAGGTATTGTATGAAATCAATGTGATTAAACACTTATTTCTCATATGATGAAACTTTATGAACTTACACTGCTAAGGCCAAAGGGAACTCTTTTGTACAAACTATTATAGTTTTGGGACCCTAAATTGTGGTATTGTGAATAAACCTTCACCCGCATGTATTTGGGTGAGGCGGCAAGGCCGCTTTGTATAGTGTTGTGATATCGTGAGTACACCTCCACCCGCATATATATTAGGGTGAGACGGTGGGGCCGCTTTGTATAGTGTTGTGATATCGTGAGTACATCTCCACCCGCATATATATTAGGGTGAGACGGTGGGGCCGCTTTGTATAGTGTTGTGATATCGTGAGTACATCTCCACCCGTATATATATTGGGGTGAGGCGGCGGGGCCACTTTGTGTAGTGTTATAGTATTGTCAGTACACCTCCACCCGTATACATTGGGATGAGGCGGCAGGGCCGCTTTGTGTAGAGTTCCTGGTATTGTGATTGCACCTCCACCCGCATACATTGGGGTGAGGCGGCAGGGCCGCTCTGTGTAAAGAAAGTTATAGAGGATCCCCGACTTAAAATTTATAAATATTATTGAAAGCTTTTAATAAATTTGCTATGGCTTTAATGGCTAGTTAAGCCTTTTTATTGTTATCATAATTCATCATAATTCATATTGTATTTCCAAGTCCTTGAATAGGTGTTTGGTTGTCATACTAGTACTATTCGACATGTACTAATATCCTTTTTACCAGGGGCGCTGCATCTTTAATGGATGCAGGTGGTTCCACAACGGAAGGCATTGACCAGTGATAGCGGTACACTCTTCTCTCAGCTGACTTGGTAAGCTCCACTTTTTTTGGGGTTGTGCATCTTTTGTTCCGTGTGTATTATGTTTTGAGGTATAGCCGGAGCCTTGTTGCCGGCACTATCATTGCACTCTTTTATATCTATTAGAGGCTCTGTAGACATAGTGTTGATGTGTATTAGTGTGGAAAAGTTAAACTAATGGTGTTGTAATCGTATCTCATGCTTCCACTGTAAGACTATGGTTGTGAAATGTATTGTTTTGGAGACTTATAAATGAAGTATCTAATGGTGATGGAACTAGTGTTGTTCATGAACCCCCGTGGTATTAATTTATGAAGTTTATATTCTCTTTATTTATGGGTGAGCTGGGTAAAAGGAAATCCAGTAGGCTTGCTCGGCCGGGTTATCTCGGTTGAGCGTCGGTCGCGCTCCCTAGAGTCGGGGCGTGATAGTTAACTATAATTGCAAATGTTTCACGTCTTAAAGTTTTTGCTTTTTTTTTTTTAAGAAAAAGAAGGAAAAAAGGTCAAAATTTAACATAATTTCTAATTAATTAATTACTTTGGGTTCTTATGAACCCGTCGAGGTCTTTCCTTTTTCACTCATTAGGAGAAAAAAAGTTTTTTCCGTTCAACCAAAACAAACTTGACAGGAAAAAGTGAATAAATATACTCAAAATTAAAACTCACCACAAAAACAATGAACAGAAAGAGCTCTATTTCAACAAGAAAAAATATGACTCATATGGTTAAATAAAAGATAGTAATGTAGCAAAATATTTCATACACAAAGAAATACAGTTTAACTGTATGGGTAAAATTGGTTAACGACAGCTAAGCGAATGACGGAGTGACACGTGGAACTAAAGACGGATGGAGTATGAGTCAACAAACAGATGGCACCGGATGCAAGCATGTAATCATTGCCGGATAGATCCCAAAGACGGAGCAGGCAGTAACAAAGATTCAAAACATTATCATCGAGTAATATTTAATGGGCAGCCGTTATAGAGAATATCTGCATTTATAGCCAACCGTTATGCACCCATCAATGTCTATTCTATTCTCATTCAAGAGGAGCTTGATTTAAGGATCTTGTCTCCTAAATCAAGCTATACATATGAGGATTAACGTTCATTGTAGTGATAGAAAGCTCTGTACACAAAAAGCTATAACCTATTATCTTATTATGCTCAAGTTCAACGCTTGAACATTGCATTCAATCGTCATCGGAAAGGCAAAGTTCTTAGTCAGACTTGTTATCTCCTTTAATTTTATTTGATAATCTTATTTTTTTTATCATTTACTTATTATTTTTGGGTCAAATCGATTCACTTGTCTAAAACAATATTATAAATTTAACTGTACCATTTTATGGGTAAACAGTTTGGCGCCCACCGTGGGGAATAGACAACCGCGTAATTGTTTTGATCCGTTCGTTTGTTACCAACAAGTTTTGACTTTTTCATTAGTAAAAATAAGATATGGTAGCTGATGATGTCAGTAACGTTTATAATGTTGGAGAACACGGTGAACGGAAAGATATGTTATAATGTGATGATTCAACCAGGGAAACTCGCAACGAAAGGGATGAAGAAACCCCGGTTCTCTAAGGACAATATCCTCAGCATGTGCGTGGACCGACTCCTAATGATGCGGAGGATGATGACGTTGTCAAAATGATCAAAATCTTGCGAGAACAATAAAGGCGATTATAGTTAACCTTTTAAGGCAAGATCGTGTGATGACGGAATTGAAGTAGGCATTATCGGGTGCATCCAATAATGCTAATGGAAGGGTTCTGGTTCCTCCCAGAATTTTCGCAAATCAGGCGGCTCAAAGAACCAATAACAACACTCCAAGGGATAAAGTCAGTTTCGACGAAGCCGAAGGGACCGGTAGCAGATCTGGAAATAACAACTTGAATGATCCTTTCAAAACTGAGCTCATGAGATTCATGAGAGAAATGAATGAACGAATGGACCAAAACGTGAAGGAGTTTCATTCTCGGTTGGATCAGATCCCAGGCCCACCGCCGGTGTTGAAAGGACCATATTCGAGGAAGTATACGCAATTACTGTTAAAAGCAAGCACGACACCGAAATTGATCCCAAAGAGGTTTAAGATACCGGATATTCCAAAGTATGATGGGACATCGGACCCACAGGAGCACATCATGACCTACACCATCGGCAGTAAAAGGAAACGACTTAGCTCAGCACGAGATCGAGTCGGTTTTGTTGAAAAAGTTTGGCGAAACCCTCACAATGGGTACTTTGACATGGTATTCTCTCTTACCTGAGCATTCAATCGATCTTTTGAAATGCTTGCAGATTTGTTCATCAAAGCTCATGCTGGTGCAAGAAAGGACCAAGCCAGGAAGGAAGACGTTTTCAAAATATCTCAAGGAAAATTCGAACTTTTGCAGGAATTCATGATCCGATTCCAAAAAGAAAGGATGTTGTTACCAGCAATTCCAGATGAGTGGGCAACAGAGGCATTTACGAAGGGTCTCAATCCGCTTAGTTCTGATGCCTCCCAAAAATTGAAGGAGAACCTGCTCGAGTTTTAGGCAAGCACATGGGTAGATGTTCACAATCACTAAGAGTCACAAATAAGGATCGAAGACGATTAACTTGGCTCTTAGGTGTCCTCCAAGGGACGGAGTTGCGATAGGAATCAAGATATAGTTTAAAACTAACTTTGACGCAGATTGGAAGTCCTCTAGAAGTCGTTTTCAGCCTTATGAGAGGACCGATATGTGTGTTAGTAAAGGGTTCCAGTCATCAGATAGGTTCGCTTCCGATAGAAGGATGGATCATGGCGGGAATAATAGATCGTTGCAAGAGAAAGAGATAGATGCCAGTGTCTGGAGATCCTGCATATCCTAGGTTATCCGATTACAACTTTAATATCAACCTAGTGGAGTTAGTGTCGGCAATGAGGAATATTAAAGAAGCTATATTCCCAAAACCGATCCGGTCAAATCCTAGCCAAAGGGATCCCAATGTATGCTGTGAATTCCATGGGACTCACGGCCATAGATCTGTGAAGTGCTGACAACTTCAAGAAGAGGTGGCGACGCTATTGAAGAATGGACACCTCAGAGAGTTTCTAAGCGACCACGCCAAGAACAACTATGGTAGAAACCGGGATAATGCAGAGTCATCCAAGTCGGCTGCAGGGTCACCTCAGATGACAATCAACATGCTCTTCGGAGGGGACGAAGTCAGTGAGATGACATTTTTAGTAGCAAAGAAGACGAAGATATCAGTGACTCATGGCAAGAGGATCTGGGAAGTCTCGAAAGATGACATCAGCTTCAAAGAAGAAGATGCCAATGGACTTCTTCTACAAGACAATGACGCGTTGGTAATTTCACCTAATGTTTTAGATTTCAAAATTAAACGTGTTTTGGTTGATCCAAGGAGTTCGGCCAACATCATAAAATAGAAAGTTTGGATCAAGCGAAGTTAATAGGGAACATCATTCTGGCGACAAAACTTCTGGCTGGTATCAACTTAACAATTGTGACTACCCGAGGAGAGGTTTTGCTACCAACACATGCCGAAGGAGTCACAAAGACTGCCCTGTTCGAAGTGGTATATGGTGACATGGGCTATAATATGATCCTCGAAAGGTCATGGATACATGAGATGAAGGTTTTGCCCTAGACCTATCACAAACTATTGAAGTTTCCGACATCGGAAAGGATCAAACAGATAAGAGGAAACTAACCGGCGGCAAGGGAGATGAATGTTGTAACCATTTCTAGCAGCAAGGATAGAGAAACCAGCTAATAGCAATTACAGGAACCGATGCCTTCTCCCATCGCCATCGAAGATGATAAAAATGAGGAGCCACCGCAATTATATTGGGTACCAAGATCTTTTCAGGTAGCGAAGGAGACGGATGCGACCAAATCAACCACAGTAGAGCTCGAACAAGTGGCTTTGTTCGAAGAATTTTTGGAAAGGAAATTCCATTTAGGAACGGGGTTAAGTCCCGAACTCAAGTTAAAACTTATAGATTTTCTTAAAGATAACATTGACTTCTTTGTGTGGTCGCATTTAGATATGACAGTTATTCTATTGGAGGTGGCGGTCCACAAATTGAGCTTGGATACAGACATGTTTGTTAAGGAAGAGGTAACCCGACTACTCGATATTGGTTCAATTCGAGAGGTAAAGTACCCAAAATGGTTTGCTAACGTAGTAGTAATGCCTAAAGAGAATAAAAAATTTAGGATGTGTGTATACTATAACGATTTAAAAAAGGCGTGCCCAAAAGACTCTTTCTCATTGCCAAACATTGATCAAATGATCGATGCTACGGCCAGACATGAGTTAATGAATTTTCTTTATGCTTATTTCAGGTATAATCAAATTAGGATGAAACCAGAACATCAAGAGAAGACTTTTTTCATGACAAACTTTGGCACATATTGCTATAATGTGATGCCTTTTGGTCTTAAAAATGCTCGGCCACTTATCAACGGCTTGTTAATAAGATATTTGAAAAATAGATAGGTAAGATGATTGAAGTCTATATTGATGACATGTTAGTTAAGTCTCTTAATGCAGGAGATCATGTAGAGCATCTCCATGAGACGTTTTACATTCTGAGAAAGTACAACATGAAGCTCAACTCGAAAAAGTGTGCCTTCAGGGTTGACACCGATAAAATTTTGGGATTTTCTTGTCTCACAAAGTGGGATCGAGGTAATCCCCGCCAAAATCAAAGCCATCTAGGATATCCCGAACCAGCTGACAAATGTGAAGGAAGTACAAAGGTTGACGGATAGGTTGGAGGCTCTAAGCAGGTTCATCTCGAGGTCTTCGAAAAAGTGTCATCATTTATTTTCGCTTTTGAAAAAGAAGAATGACTTCGTGTGGATTCCGGAATGCCAGCAGGCTGAAAGACCTAAAAAGGTACCTATCCAGCCATCCGTTATTGTCAAACCCGGGAGAAGGGGAGCAAATATTGATTTATCTAGCAATCTCAGAAGTAGCGATAAGAACCTTTTTGGTTTGAGAAGAAGAAGGTACGCAATTTCCCTCTTATTACATTAGTAAAATATTATCAGGAACGGAGACACAATATCCGCACCTAGAAAAACCGGCCTTAGCTCTCATAGTTGCCTCTCGAAAGCTTAGGCCTTATTTTCAATGTCATCCAATAGTCGTTATGACAACCTTTCCATTAAGGAATGTTCTTCATAAGCCTGAGTTGTCAGGTGGTTTGGCTAAGTGGGCAGTCGAAGTTAGAGAATTCGTTATTGAATATAAGCACAGGACTACAATTAAGTCACAAGTTTTGGCTTACTTCGTGGACGATTTTAGTCCGGGATTAATGCCTTTGGCTGCTAAAGAAGCAGTGCTGGTATCAGGACTGGTATTGGGAGTTTCGACCTTGCTTACGGATGGAGCCTCCAACGTAAAAGGGTCCCGTCTCGGAGTAGTTCTAATCACCCCTTCGGGGGAAGCCCTAATACAGGCCATTAGAATTGTATCATTAACTAATAATAAAGCCGAGTATGAGGCTTTGGTTGTAGGATTAGGTTCCGAGGTCATCGAGATAAAGTGCTTCTCCCAGCTGGTGGTAAACCAAGTGTATGGAATTTTCGACACAAAGGAGGAGCGCATGCAACAATATTTGAACAAGGTTCAAGCATTACTTACACGATTCAAAGAGTGGTCAATCGTCCATGTTCCAAGGGATGAAAATGTGGAGGCAGACGCACTGGCTAATTTGGGTTCATCCATAGAGATAAAAGGATCTGATTCCTGTGCGGTCGTCCAATTGCTTCATTCAGTGTTGGATGTTGATGGCTACTGTGAAGTTAATTCAATCAACTTAATCTGGGACTAGAGGAACAAGTTCATTGAATATCTCAGACATGGTAAATTACTCGAAGACCCAAAAACGTCCCGAGCACTACAGACCAAAGCAGCTCGCTACTGTATTGTTTATGGAAAATTATATAGGAGGTCATTCCAAGGACCATTGGCTCGATGTCTGGGGGCCACGGGGGTGGACTACGTGATGAGGGAAGTCCATGAAGAAGTATGCGGAAACCACTCTGGTGCAGACTCGTTAGTTCTCAAGTTAGTCAAGGCTGGCTACTATTGGCCCCGGATGGAACAGGACACAAAAACATTCGTACAAAAATGCGACAAATATCAATGCCATGCATAACTAATGCATCAACCAGCGATTTTCTGCATTCGGTGGTGTCACTGTGGCCATTTATGAAATGGGGGATGGACATAGTCGGTCCCTTACCACAGGGACCCAGGAAGGTAAGATTTCTTTTGGTTTTAACTGATTATTTTACTAAATGTGTTGAAGCAGGACCTTACCAAAAGATCGGAGAACACGAAGTAGTTGATTTTATATGGGACCATATAATCTGCCGATTTGGACTACCAAAGGAGATTGCTTGTGAAAATTGGCCATAATTCATAGGTTCTAAAGTCATGAAGTTTCTGGAAGGGTTAAAGATAAAGCGAATTACGTCTTCTCCGTACCACCCGAGTGCTAATGGACATGCGGAGTCAACTAATACCGACTTTTTTATGGGCATATCGGACCACGGCAAAGTCAAGCACGGGAGAAACACCCTTTTTGCTCGTGTATGGTTTAGATGCTTTGATACTGGTAGAAGTGGGGGAACCGACCTTAAGGTTTTCTCGAGCAAATGAAGAAGTAAACAATGAAGCATTGTTGGTCAAGCTAGATTTTCTTGAAGAGCACCGGGATCTGGCATATGTGTGGATGGTGGCACAAAAAAAAGGATGAAAATGTATTACAATCGCAGGCCAAATCTCCGATATTTCACGGTTAGGGATTTGGTTATAAGGAAAGTCACTCAAAGCACTTGGGAAGTCAACACCGGGAAGCTGGGACCGACATGGGAAGGACCTTACCGGATTTCAGCTATAACCGATAAAGGGTCATACAAATTAGAAAAACAATATGGTGATAAATTGCCAAGCAATTTGAACGTGACTCACCTTTAAAGGTACTATTGTTGAAAATCCTTGTTGGTACTGAAAGTATATGCTGCACTATTTTTTCCTTCGACCAGATTTTATCCTAATTGGGTTTTTCTGGCAACATTTTTAAAGAGGCAGTAATGTAAATCATACTACGAAGGAAGGATCATCGGTAAACTGGTAAATCAACAACCAAAAGCTCTATTTAGATTAACTCGCATGGAAATCAACTTGTGGATGGTTAAATAATCTTTGGCCCGATAGCATAACTCGTCTCCCAAGACTTTCATAGGCCTCCGGTAATAGATTGTTTATCTCTCCACATGGTGTTTCCATTAACGAGGAAGCAACACAAATGCTTTCTATAAAAGAAGTGTCATTATTGAATGAAAGACCTCCAGTGTTCGAATTCTCATGGTTTGCATCCGAACACTGGGGGAATAATACATGACAAGACATTATAAGTGTTACGAAAACTGAGGACTATTCGAATCAGAATCAATGTCTTATCAGGACCGAGGACTGCATGATCAGCCCCGTAGATATACGTGGTACAATTTAGACACATGTATTGGAAACTTTGTTTACTTAATCAAATAAATATTTATGTAAATGTACTTTTAAAGATAAAGGGACTAAATCAAATTCCTTTCATTTTTATCCTATTTCTTGTCCAAATGGTAAGTTGATTTATTTTATCATTTGAAAGTTAGCAAAAACTTCAAATGCTTGTGCCGGAATGAACAGGAGACGTTATCTTCAAGAGAACCATAAACATAAGGGACCTCTTTTATGAAACCTTCATAGTAAAGGGTAGATTCCAGAAGTGTTTATGCCCGGAATCAAAAGCTATCAGATGTAGAAATATTCCCAAGGCTTTGTCAATTAAATGAAAGAGAATATTTTTCTCACAATAGTCAGGAAAAAAGTTTCTTTTATTAATTAAAGTGCCAAACTAAATAAAACATTTTGGCGTAATTACAAAAGATAAAACATATACATCATTCTTTGCTGCCAGAACCCAAAGGGAGAGAAGAGTTTTCATTTTCTCTGGTGGATGAAGGCTGCTCCGCTGCCGGTTGGGGGTCTTATCTTCTGCGATTCCCGAATAATCAAAATTAGTATTCGATGAATCGAATATGGCAGGCCGAGCAGGAAGGTTCTCACGAGCGGTTATCTACAGTTCTCACTGTGCTAATTTTGGTATCGAGCTCAATGTTGGTGGACGAGTGAAGTCGATTTTGCTCTACGACTCTTTTGAGACTTTCTTCCATTGTTTCTCTTCTCTACTCGATAACATTGGCCTCCTCGATTTTTAGGCGTAAGCTAGCCTCCAAATTATTAACTTGTTCCATGAAGGCAGACTCACGCTCGGTAGCGGCAATCACAATATCATGAAGATCGAACCACTTAGATCGAACCACTTAGCCTTTGCTTCCTTAAGGTTATCATGTAGTTGGGTGGCTTCCTGGCTATGAGTCATCCTATCTTGTTCAGAATGCCGCAGTCGGGCCTCGAGCTCATCCATTTGAGCGATTCTTGCCTCCAGCACCGGGAGGCGTTCGACCAGTTGATTCCGTTCGGCCAAGAGCTGATCTCATTCTGAAATAAGCTCTTGCTTGTCCAAAATCAGCTTTTGCAGGCCCTCTGAAGCGAGAAGGTTGGCCTACAAGAAGGTCAATGATAAGGTTATCGATACGAAGTATAAATTAAATAAAGATAGAAGGAAGTCAGATTGCTACCTGCGCCGAACAGTGCATGCTATTATTTATAAGACACTCCGCAGAGAGAGAGAGAGTCCATCTTTCTCCAGTCCTTTGCTTAGGCCAGCAACATAAGGTAATTGGCAAGCTCTACTGCCTTGGAAAGAATATGGCACTCCTTCACAACCGAGAGAGTGGCACTCCATTTTCCACGAGGGTCTTAAGAGGGTGTCGAGTAAGTACTTCCCAAGTTCCCGTGGTCGGGAGACAGTGGGGAAGAGGCATTCTCTATTTTTTGGACTGGGCCGGTGGAGAAGAAGCAGCTGGTATCTGTGGAAAAGGAGCAGTTAGTGCAGATGGAGAAGAGACAGCTAGTGTAGAAGGGGTAGTAGTTGTTGCTGGCTCAGAAGTTAGTGGCATAGGAAGGTCAGGGGCCGAGCTTCTCTAGCCGGTGACTTCGATAGGAATTGGAAAGTTGACGAGCTTGGAACACCACTTAAATTATGCTATCTAGTCAATGATAGTATAGTCAATGATAATATAGTATAATATCGTATCCATGAGGATTGGAGTTAAATAGTATTTTTCTAGTTTCTCGCTTGATTGCTATCTAGAAAAATCAACAATCAAGATTTATATGATTAATAACTAAAATTAACTAAGAATCTAAAGCTATTGACTAATGATTATCGAAACAAGGAATAAGAAAAGAAGGTTATCAATGGGAGAAGATAAGGTTTTGATAGGACAGGTGCAAGATAATTTAACTCTAGATAATTTACTTCTAATGTTTAAGTGAGTCTCTCGAATTCACTCAATTATTAGTTCAAACGTTTAGCAAAAACTCCTCTCTCGATTAAGTCTTAACCTCACAAGATGAACCAATTTAAGCACGTGAAGATATGAAAGAATGTATAATGGATTGGTCTTTAGGAGAAACTCTCCCGATTATCCTCCTAACTAGGTTTAATCAATGATTCAACTAGCCTCTTTCGATTACTAAGAAGAATTAATGAACTCAACCAACAATATAATGCAAAGATATCACAAGTTATGCCTCTCTCGATTACATGAACAAGTGAATATAGATGCAATGATTAAATCATCCAAAACAATTCAATACATAAAACTAGAGTTATAATCCACAAACAAATATCAATACACCAAATCCATCAAACCCTAAAGGAAACAACTCCATAGATATGGAGCAATTCATCACAAATATGTTTAAAGTAAAGGAAAACTCGGGTCTTGAGTGAGGATTGAATGATGAACTCCTTGTGCTTTTGCTTCTCCAACTCCTCCTTAGCCTCCTTAGGTCTCTAATATGTCAAAAGTTTAGAAAATAATATTTTTCCATGTATTTATACCAAGTAGGGTCGGGCCCAAACGAAATCACCTTTTACTCGCCGAAATAGGATATTTACTCTGTAAATAAATACACAGATGTGCCACATGGGGAAATGCGCCATGCGGGGCATTATTGGGGAATCCAGAGAGTTGATTTCTGACATACAGCAGGAAAATGGGCAGACGCGGCGCCCCACGAGCTGCGATAGTGGGGATTTCTTAGAGTACAGATGTTTCTTGCGTTTTGACGTCCAGACTTGGTCCTCAACCCTCGAACACAATCCCGGCTTAATCCCTTGGTCTTTTACTCAGACTTCAAAGCTCCAAATCACTCAAATTCATTCCATAATATATACGTAGCTCAGAATCACTCCTACAAGGCATAAAACACACAATAAGTGCAAAACACTATCAATTAAAGCTCAAACATAAGTAAAGTGCAGTAAATTAGAGTGCAATAAGCGACTAAAATACGAGATTATAGCCTACCATCAACATCCCATACTTAAACCATTGCTCGTCCTCGAGCAGTGAAACTGCACTTCATATAGACACGACCTTTTTAAACAACTCTCCTTACTCATCACACCAAGAATATTTAAAATAGATTAAGCACTCTAACGTAACATCCCCGCCTCATGATTTGACTCAAAAGCACCATGCATTATTTATAACCCGCTCACTTACTCTAACACAGAGGTCAACGACATTACCTTTCCTTCATGAATTAAGTGCCCTCACACAACAATATAGATTAGTTCCACACACAATAGACATTACGAACAATTAGGACCTCAAGATAGAAAAAATTCGNAAGATA